TATGTGGTTCAACTTCCCCCCCCCCCCCAAAAAAAAGGAAAGAAAAATTTACTTTGGGGGAAAAAAAAGGACTTGCAAAACATTTTGGAAATGATGATTAAGATGTTTCAGTGTGTGCTGAGATTCCTGTTTTACACTCACATTCAAGGTTATGGAAAATATGTTTTTTTTTTTTTTTACACCAAACTGAAACTTTTCTTGAAAATTGCATTAAAGGTTTTTTTTCAAATTCATATGAAATCAAGATGAATGCAAATATTACATTAATAAAAACTTGACATGTTTTAAACTAGACTTTAAAATATTTTTGCATGCTGTCCATAAGCTGTTGATCAGTAGACAAAAGTAGTTGTTTTAAAATTCTTTTATTTTTTCAGCTCATAATTACAGTGTTAGAATTTTCCTCAAGAACTTAATTTATATCTGTTCACTCTTATGGCATGTGAAAGGATGAAAATTTTCATATCGGAGCTAAAATTAAGTATCATTTATGATGGAAGTTACCATTCAGGTGGATTTATCCCTGTTCTGACTTTGACTTTCACCTTTCCATGCATCTCTTTCCACATCATTTAGGTTTAGACAAGACCAGGACCTTTCTGAACGCTAGCTGTCAGTGTAAATCAGCATTTGGATGATGTTAGGTGTCATTAGTATAATTAGGTTTTATGTGATTGTGGGTGTAAACTTGAGAGCAGTTTTTGTTGAAGATGTCTGCGGCTGTAACCGCTACTCTCATTAGTTTTGTATTGGATATATTGACTGCTCTTGTTTCATGAAGCGAAGTTGGCGAGGAAGCCTTCTCTAAACCTCATTTTTCTGTTTTTTTTTCTTTTTTCTTTTTTCTTTCTCGCTCTACAGGACCAGAAAACTCCAGATCAGAAACATTCCGCCACACCTACAGTGGGAGGTGAGTCTGGGTGTGACTTCTTCGAACTTCAAACTTCAGTTTTTCCTCAATCAACGCAATGATGCTCATCACCCAAGAATTCTGCCAAAGTGCCAGGGTTGCTCTTAAGGATGTTTTTTTTTTTTTCAGACAGATTAAAGCATAATCCTAGAATAAATTATTGTGTACTTGATGATTCTTCTCCATTCATAGACATTATTTTAAGTATGACGTAGAAAACATCCCGGATGTAAATGTTTATGAGTCACCAAAGGGAAATTGCAAAAATGTTACATTGGTTGGACAAACAGATAATCCCAACGAAAAACAAAAATACATGTTTTAATAGTGCCACTAAGGTACTACAGTTTTGCTCTTCTTCTAGAAAATTAAGCTACATATAATAGATCTCTTTAAATATTTATATAAGTATTTTAACATCAGCAAAATTACTTTTGAAAATCAGTATTTATTAATTAAAAACTAATTAAGTATTCATTAAAAGGCTATTTTAAAATAAACCTCTTCCAAAAAGAAATCTAATAAAAAAAAAGTAAAATATATATTTTTATTTTTATTTTAAATATTTTTCAGCAATGCGTCTGTTTAATCTGACTCAGAATAACAAAGTTTGAGCTTTCCCTACATGTTCTGGCAAGGGCAGTGCCCTGTGCTGATGTAAACTCCAAGTTTTATCCATGTCATTCAGGTTAGGTGATCTGTGTGTGATTATGAGATTACACCGTCACCATACAGCGTCTGGGTGTGTGTGTGTGTGTGTGTGCGGGCGTGGCACGGCACAGTGCTTGTTGACAGTTGTTGTACTGGCTGACTGTTGTTCTTGCGGGGCGGGGTCTCTCTTGGCATGTCTCCAGCAGGCCCCACTTCTGCCAGCCATTTGCGCCAGCGTCAACCACTAGGAGGCGACCCCTTGGTGGCAAAAACCAGTCTGATGCCAACCAGGTTTTAATGTAGTTCAGTTTGACAGATGTTAAGTTTTGTATGGAGAAATTAAGCCTACTATCATACACAAAATGCACACCTGGTTTGGGACAAGTTTTAATCTGAGTTTGTGACATTTTTTTAACATTACAGAAACTTCCTATCTTAATTCTTGACATGAGATTTGAAAGTTCAGAATTCCTAAGTGAAATTAGCATGGTTACTAAACAGATAAGATAGGATTCTGAGTTAGGATATTTCTGTAATACAGAATAAAATGAATTAAAAAAAAATTGTTTAAACTTGTCATTTTTGAAGAGAGCAACCTGGGTAACTTCATTAAATGAACTATACGCTCATGACCTTTAATTCTATAACTCTTGTGTGAAACCGATTCAGTCAGCAGGTGCATTGTTGGTTGCTACAATTTTAAGTAAATTCATTTCATTCTCTTTTATCCATTGTAGGTTCTTGATGGTCTGCTTGCCCAGTATGGAACTGTTGAGAACTGTGAACAAGGTAAATAGTTTTGAGTAATACTAATGAAATAATACAACAATTTGTATTACTTATGTCTAAAATATATTTTTAAAAAATCATACTGAATACCTGGAAATGCAAGTGCTTTTACAGCATCAATAGAGATTCAAAAATTATAGGTTATTTACACTCTCTTTCTCTGTTCTTATTTTTTTCCCTAGTGAATACAGACAGTGAGACTGCAGTTGTGAACGTCACATATGGGACACGGGAGCAGGCTAGACAGTGAGTGAACTTTCCCCTGAAACCTTCATTTAAAAGCTGAAGTGTCCAAATGGAATTGCAAAAATACTGACTTTTGTCAAATAGATTTCCCTTGTCTTCCGTTGTTCGGCCAAACAGATCCTCTCCTCGAACTCACACATGCCGCTGTGCTGGGTTGGTCTGGATTCTCAATGTTTTAAACTGTGTAACCACTGTGTATACAATTTTTAGTAAAAAACAAAAATACAAAAGGCTGTCTGTGCATATTAAGATGCGATAAAATAAAGTATTGTAACATAAGAATGGCATATTTCAGCTTTAAAATCGCTTGTCTTTCTGTAATATCGTAATCAAATTAAACCGTCACCACAAAGCATGTGTGCTCTCATTATGGTTTTTCCTTGTTTGCGGCTGACACCTACTGGTGATTCAGCTGCTTTGCAAGCTTTATTCAGGTTGGCTAAAAATGAGATCTGTGAGTCTGGATTCTTCATCAGATTAATTTGTAATGATATTTAATAACCATTTAGTACACTTTGTACAGCAGTCAGCATTCATCCACACCACAGTGACATTTTCTCCCAAGATATTGTCATAAACCCTTATTCATGCATATCATTCATGGTTTTTGTCTAAAAAGGGCAATCCAGAAGCTCAACGGTTACCAGTTTGAGAACAACGCCCTGCGTGTTTCATACATCCCCGACGAAAACTCTGATGTCGACTCTCAACGAGGACCAGACAACGGCCGTCGTCCCGGATATGGTCCGCGAGGAAACTCCCGCCAGACGTCGCCTGGTTCTCGAATCCCCAACAAACATCAACATCCCGACGTCCCTCTCAGGCTGCTGGTGCCCACGCAATACGTGGGTGCCATTATCGGCAAGGAGGGCGCCACCATCCGTAACATCACCAAGCAAACTCAGAGCAAGTGAGTGATTGAGTGATTGAAATGGAGGAATTGAAAAGAAACTAATTTAATTTAAAGTAGTTAGAATAGAATAGTTCACCCTCATGTCACATCAAACCTGTATGATTTTTTTTTTTCTTGTGCCTTTTTATATTTTACACTGTTCATTGCATAACCTTTACGATACTGCCCTCTCATCTCTCAGGATCGATGTGCATCGTAAAGAGAATGCAGGTGCCGCTGAAAAGCCCATAAGTATCCATTCTACCCCAGAGGGCTGTTCAGCTGCCTGCCGCATGATCTTGGAAATCATGATCCAGGAGGCCAAGGACACCAAAACGTGAGTGTCAAGGACAATCGCAACAAGAACAGTCATCCCTTACACCATTCGTTTTTTTTCTTTAAAATATATAAGTAATAAAGTAATAATGTCCACTGTATATAAATGCATATTTACAATACTATTCATAAGTTTGGGGTCAGTACGTTTTTTATAAAAAAATAAATTAGTACTTTTATTCATTAATAATCAAAAAGACTTTTTACATTGCTACAAAAGATTTATATTTCAAATGAGTGCTCTTCTTTTGAACTTTATATTTGTTTAAAACAAATCCAATTTCCACAAAAATATTAAGCATCACAGCTTTTTTCAGCATTAATAGTAATAAGACATTTTTCTTGAGCAGCAAATCAGTATATTAGAATGATTTCTGAAGGATCATGTGACACTGAAGACTGGAGTAATGATGCTGAAAATTCAGCGTTGACATCACAGGAATAAAGTACATTTTAAAATATATTAAAGTAGAAAACAGTTATTTTTATTTGTAATATTATTTCACAATGTCAAGTCAAGTCACCTTTATTTATATAGCGCTTTATACAATACAGATTGCGTCCAAGCAGCTTTACAGTGTTAAACAGGAAAAACGTGTGCTGATGATGCAAGAGGACAATAGAAAACAGTCAGTTTTAACAGTCAGTATATCACTGTTTTTAAACAATAATCCTTCTGACCCCAAACTTTCGATTTTGTTTCTGAACCTACAGTTCATTGAAAGGTCATTGTTGGGTCATGTCTGTTCTCAGATCAGTATTAACAGATACTGTTCATTTCTGGTAGTGCTGATGAGGTGCCTCTGAAGGTTCTTGCTCACAACAACTTTGTTGGCCGTTTGATTGGCAAAGAGGGACGCAACCTGAAGAAAGTGGAGCAAGACACTGATACCAAGATCACAATTTCACCGTAAGCAAAGAAAGGACACAAACACAAAACTAAACCAGTGGCCTAATTTTCTACTGAGTGTTCTTAACATGATTTTTTTTCTGAATGTCTCTTCACGCAGACTGCAGGATCTGACCCTTTATAACCCAGAGAGGACAATTACGGTGAAGGGCTCGATCGAAGCGTGCTGCCTGGCAGAACAGGAAATCATGAAGAAAGTGCGGGAGGCATATGACAATGACATCGCTGCCATGAATGTGAGTTTGTATAAGAGAGAAAAATGTGTAGGAACACAAAAATAGAGAAGACTTTATTGTAAGTGTAGTTTATTTGGCCAATGACTTTTAATCCTAATCTGAAAATCTATTCCGCCTTCATCCAGCAACAGACCCACCTGATCCCTGGACTAAACCTGGGAGCAATCGGCCTCTTCCCGCCATCCTCTGCCATGCCGCCTCCTGCCCTCGGAAACTCTGTGCCTGGTTCCCCCTATGGCCCTATTGGGGTACAACCAATTTTGTCACTATTCATTATTTGAAAAAATCATAGATATTGATGTCACATAAACTAGGCCTCTGTGGCATCATTACCTTATTATGGTCGGTTAACGCAATTCTCTTTTGTGGCGTTCACCATATGTTGTGGTGTGACGGTCTAAGCAGTTATTCATTTTTTTGTCCCTAACCCAGGCCTCTGAACAGGAGACCGTCCACGTGTACATCCCAGCTCAAGCCGTAGGAGCCCTTATTGGCAAGAAAGGACAGCATATCAAGCAGCTAAGCCGTTTTGCGGGAGCTTCTATTAAGGTAATCTTCATAAAAATGCATTGTGGGTAATCTTTTTGGTTTCCTATGCTTTCAAAAAATAGTATTTACTTTTAAAAGGGATAGTTCACCCAAAAATGAAAATTCTTCTGTTATTTCCTTATCTTCAAGTCTTTCCAAACCTGTTGCAATGTTTTCGATTTGTGAACAAATTTTCTTTTCTTTTATTCTTCGAAAAATTCCAAAATTCCAAAAATGGTAATTTATTTGTTATGCAAAGCTGAATTTTCAGCATCATTACTCCAGTCTTCAGTGTCACATGATCCTTCAGAAGTCATTGATTGTGTTAAATTTCTCCTTATATGTTCCATGGATGAAATAAAATCTTACAGGTTTAAAACAACATGAAGGTGAGTAAACCATGGAAAATTTTCACCTTTGGGTGGTATTATTGTTAAAATGATCACACAGGTAATCTCAAATCAAATATTGTGTTGATATGTCATGTAAAATATAGGGTTGGGTATCGTTTTTTTTTTTTTTCGATACCGGTGCCAAATCGATACTTTTAAAACGGTTCCGGTGCCTGAACCGATTCTTATTAAAAAATAAATAAAAATTCCCCCCAAAAATGATGGATTGGCCATTAAAATAGAATAGAGAGTGCAAATGTTAGAGGGTCAAGTTTTTTAATAAAAAAAAAAAAACAAGCAGATAAAATTAGAAGTAGCATTAGAATAGAGAGTGCTAGAGTTAGAGGGTCAAATGAAGATGAAAGAGATGTGTTTTCAGCCGTTTCTTGAAAATATTAAGGACTCAGCTGCTTGGATTGAGCTGGGCGGGTCATTCCACCAGGAGGGAACAGTTAATGTAGAAGACCATGACAGTTTTATCATAGGTAGAATGCAAAATGTTTCAATACAAGCGTTTCAGTCGAATGTAATTTATGCAATATTTCAAACCTACCAGAGGACAAATATTTCAATCGATCGCTCAGGCATGGCACCGAATTGAGATTCCGAATTTGATTCAGATTCGGTTCTAGTACATACCGGTTACATAGGTACCGGTGCCATATTGGTACCGGGTTTCGGTACCCAACCCTAGTAAAATATTGAAGTTCATGTTCTCTTTTTCTGAAGTTCATAGTTGTGTCAAGATGACTTCAACTCTCAAATGCATTTTTCCTTAGATTGCACCAGCAGAGGCTCCAGACTCAAAAATGCGAATGGTCATTGTTACAGGACCACCTGAGGCCCAGTTCAAGGTTTGCTCGAATGCATGGTTTGCGACCGCAGTAAAGATGGTTTGCGGTTTGATATTCAGATTTCTTTTGGCTATAAATACGCAGCGCGCTGTCATAGACATGCAAATAATACCGAATATCATTCTCCATGATTTGTGAATTCAGGTGATGCTGTCCTTCGGGCCGAAATCAGTTTTTTTTTTTCGTAGCGACTCTTACTTTTATAATGCCTATAGCTCCAAAAGTTGGACACTTAGAGGAATGAAACCGGTGTCATATTCACCAGCTTGATCTGTGAATTTTTTCACAGTTAAGCTCTTGTCCGTAAACCCCTTGGTAAGTCCGCTAGTAAGGAATGTGAAAGAAAGGCGTTCTTCATGTTTAACGTCTATTACCAATAAACACGCAGACTGCTGGAATACAAAAACATTGTTTTAGGTCGAGCTCGATTTGTGAAAACTTTCACAATCGCATTTTATCGCGTGGCAGTGTTTATCTTTGCTCTGCCCCCCGTTTTTTGTAGCCTATAATAATTTAATACGGTGCTGTTCCTGTTAGCATTATGTTGACAGCTTAATTAGTCACCAGTGTCAGACTATTAATAGCTAGCCATATCGCTAGTAAGCTGTGAAAGCTGAGAATTTATACGAAATCAAAGTTTAAATTCATTCTTATTAAGTTTTAACTTTATATTGTAGTTTATATCATAAAGTAAATTGTGTTATGAGCACAATATGTACAGTGAGCACTTTGACAAGACAGGATTAGGGATGGAGCTAAAGCATATTGCTCTTTAATTTCACTAACGTTACTTATTTACAAAGAGTAAGTTTATCATCACTTGATTATAAGGATTTCATAGCTTATCATAAA